GTGGGGGGGTTGCATGGAAAGGTTTAGGAACTCCTAGCTTAACATATTTCACAAATAAAGGAAAATCATTTAAGCAAAACACAGATTCTATAGATTTCTTTTGTAATTACTTTAGTGTCTTTAGAGGAGAAAAAACTTTTTTGTTTGTGGTTTTAACTATAAAAGCAATGGCCTTATGGTTTATATGGATTTAGCTGAGACAGCTGTGAATGCTACCAGGCAAACAGGTGCAAAAATATCTGAGCTGCATAACTCATAATCAGTCTGGCGGATGTTCTCAGATGTCTGGATCCTGTTATCGTGGTTATTCCTTCTACATATTTTATCAGAAATCTTTTGTTTTCAATAAGGCACCTGGTGTCAAGGCATTCATTTTGTTTGGGTCAGCACAGAGTTTTTTTCATGGAAGACCCTCCTAGTGTTGTAGCCAACTCTGTCTTACTGCCCGTCTCTTTCCTCACCCTTTCAACCTGCCTTCCCCCGTCAGCCTTTATCCTGTTTGTCATGCTGTCACTTTCTTTCGGAGGGCACTCACTGACCTTGTGTACAAGCAGTTGTGATGGTGTAAATTTTGTGGATCTGTGCCCATGGATGTCTGACTGGATTTCCTTCTGAGCTCTGTTTATTAATATACATTAAACCTTTCAGAGCCCACAAAAAAACAAATGCTTATTTAATTTGTACTAATAATAGGCAAAAGTGTCAGAATTGATGCACATTTGCACAGTAGCATGTTAAATTACATACACATGACCCTGTTCTCTTTTCATAAAATGCTGACTCACCTACCAGTTGCCGTGCCCTACCTAGGCATAGTAAGTGCAACACTAACTAAACTAGCCCCCACCTCCATCCACTATTCCCCCACACACATGCAGAAAAAGGGGAAAACGAGAGTAGAATATTGAACTTGCGTACGTCGATGTGTGTGCGTGTGTTTGGTGTATTATAAAGAGCAGTGCCATGGCAACAGCTCTCTCTGGAGTTGAAAGCTGGTGGGTGGCACTCGGCTCAGGCTCTAAGCTGTGTACGTATGTGCTCGCTTTCTCTTTGCCGTTTTTTTGGGTGTGTTGAAATCATGACGGGCACCCCTGCAGAGCGCCACACCGTAAAGTTAGTAATTAGACTCACTACCCTCAAATAAGCAGTGATTTCAAGTTGAGGTGTTTTTATTACTGTAGAGATAAACTTTGATCAGCCGCTGGTTGTACAAATTTTCAACACCAACATGTTCACTTTTCTTCTTGAAATTCTTACCCCTTTAGAAAAAAAAAGCCCAGCTCAGCTCTGACCTATTTAACATTTAGTTTCATATTTATTTTTTTATCTAAATGAAAAGATCATTGCCATTTGAACATCTGTATTGATATTTTAACAAAGTCAAACATTATAGAGCTAATTCTTTTTGGCAGCCTAGTTCTCAACTCTTCACCTCGGTTGGAAAATCATCAGCTTTCAAATCGCTGGCTTCTGTAGTTGTATAAGTGAAATGTGATATAACCTCAAAAGCTCTTTAGAGCAAGCACTGTGTCAATTCGCTGCAGGTAATTTTCCCTGTGGTAGAAAAGTATTTTGCTACACTATGGAATATGTTAAATAATCTGCAAACTCATCCATATTTTTATATATCTCATTTGTACTTCTTCACAAAAAATAAAATTAGATTAACCTGGCCTTTTGATGGAAACAGCTATAACTGAATGGAATTTCTATAACAAATGAAGACTGGGCAGTGCTGTTTAGTTTTACTAAAGGTAGTGTTTTGGCACTGTCTTCAAATAAAACAACTCTCTAAAGTAATTGTTGCCCAACATTGTCCAGTCACATCAGAACACAACCATCTGCTTTCAATAAAGTCCTGCAATACTTTGAACTTCGTCATTATGATTCCAATTCAACTAGTTACAGTAGAGTGGGTTAAAAATCCAGATACATCTCTCTGATCCCTGCATCCATTCATCTTTCACTGATATTAATTGCTGCAGGGCTGGCTGTCATCTTTGTCTCTGTGAAGCAAGAGATCTATTAAAGAAGGGTGTCCTTTCAAAGTTAAAGCTAAATAGCTGACTAATGGGTCGGTCCTGTCATCCTGCTTTTTTTCACAGTGCCTCTTCATCCTCTGTGTATGCCTGTCTCTTGCATCCGCTCTCTGATATGCAGTGTTGCTGCACTGGTGCTCTGGCACACCCACGCTGTCAAATTCACTCACCGTCTTTCTCACTCTTTCCTGTTTCTGTCCAGGAGGAGCAGAACAGAGGAAAGCCCAACTGGGAACACCTAAATGAAGACCTACATGTCCTAATCACAGTGGAAGACACACAGAACAGAGCCGAGATCAAGATGAGGAGAGCAGTCGAGGAAGTCAAGAAGCTCCTTGTACCTGCTGTGAGTACACGATACGCACAAACTTACATGAACTGTACATCATTGATGCTGTTATACCAGTGTTTGGGTTCCTTTTCAATGTCACAGAACGATAGAGGGCATGGATAAAGGTTTTGATGTTCAGCAATAATAACACTACATATGGCACACCACCTCTACCCCACTGTTATGATCCTGTTTACTTCCATATATAGACGAAGGGAACAGGTTGGCTGTGCCCCCAGTTGAGTGGAAAAACATGGGTAACTGCACACACCCTTGGTGACTGCCACATTTCATCTCCGCTTCCCCTCTGGTAAAACTTCCTTTAACACTGTGCCACTGGGGATAGCTGCTTGTTGTCTCGTTGGCGTGTAGTTTGTATTTGTGCTTCAACTGTGATGGCCAGGTGGACAGAGCAGCTGACGGCTCCAGTTTGACATTAGGTGGCCATGTACTTGGGTGGTCTTTGGACCTGGGACCAGGCCAAGCATACAAGGTTAAAGGAAATGTGCATTTGCATAGCTGCTATCAGTTTTGTTTCCTTAATGCAAAATACTTATGTGTGGGACACTTTTAAAAATGTCTGTTTTGGAAGAAACAAAGTTAATTTACCATTACCATTTATCATTATTCATTTTTAGAGGTTTGATTTGTTTAATGATACTGAGAAAGAAATGGAATAGAAGGAGAATTTTACTATTGGGAAATGCAAAAAATTTGAAAATGGCAAGAACCCGAAATTATTGGTGAAAATGTGACATTTGTAAAATTCAGTCTGAAATGCTAAAGCTGTATTTAAATGAAGTATAAACATATTTGAAATTATAAATAGAATAGTCCAAATATTCAGTTAATTATGTTTCTGATATTTCACGAGAGATGCAAGTTAATTAATCAATTAATTAATTAATTAATCTAAAAGTAATTGATCTTATTGATCAACTAACAATAAATTGACAACTGCAGTCAGAGTTTATATGCTGAAAGCACATTGTAATATTTTAACAATTTATTGTGTCAGCTGTATTAAATACTGATTGAATAAACAAAAATTGTTGGTCCTCTCATCAATTTTAAACTTGGACATATTTAGAAAGTGTAACAAAACAGGAATCTATTCTGTTGCTGAATTGGGGGGGTGGG